TAATCATTTTAAGTATTTAAGTATTGAAAATAGTTACTGAAACTTCTCCTTTGCAAATATTTAAGAGTCAACCTCACAAGCTTCTCCAGCTAAATGCCAAACAAACAATTTTTCACAGGTGCCCCTGTGAGTAAATAATAAAGGTAATAACTAACACAAATATAAATAGTATAATAATTTAAATAATAATACTATAATATATGTAATAAATAAATAATGAAGGCAAGATCAACAGTTGTACTGTATTACTCCATGTAAAGCTTTTCTGTCACTCTTTTCTCCAACAGAATAGGAAACTCATATATCAAAATTATCTGGTGGCATCATCATAGTACTAGTAAGGTGAAAAGCATTAGACATCACTCTGGCCAGTTACTTTTAATGGTCGAGTTTTCTAATCCCAGGTATATAAATTCTAGTTGAAGCCTACATGTTGTTGGAACTACTCTGAGAACCTTTAAGAGTTCCCTTCCACATTCTAGACAATCACCCCATCTCTATTTGATAGGAGTACCGGTTCCCTCTACCGGCAGCTTCTCTCGCGAATTTACAACCTAAGGAGTTGTAAACGGTTACATAAGAGACCATCATGGTAAACTGTGTGAGCAAAGGTAAACTACTGAATTTAAGATCAACAAAAAGTTTGTAACCTCGAGATGTCTGTACTAATGGATCGTTTGAGAAAAGGGAAATAACATTCTGCAATGCACGAAGCTGCCCATTTTAGGTGTTAAGTTTCAGGAGAATTGTAAATATAGCGAACACGTACGTGCTAAGTTGATTAAGGCAAATAAGTGTCTGTTTGTATTAAAATCTTTACGGAAGGAAGGTTTCAGTCAATGTGAAGTAGACCACCTATTTAGCGCCTTAGTTTTGCCAAATTTCACCGATGGTCTGCTTGTTTATGGCGTTTATTTATTCATACAAAACTTTATGGACAGATGCTTTAAAAGGAAATTCACATCTAAGAGAATGGACATTCGAGAACTTTTAGAAAAGGCAGATAAGAAGATTTTCAAGG